AGAGGTAGATGGAAGTATGCAAGCATGTTAGGTAACAGCCAATCGTGCTTTCATGTCAAGAAATATGCAAAAAGTCAGTCTTATAAGAAACCAGTTTTATGAAGGGTTACAGAAGTTTATTTGTAAGTGCTAATAGAAGGTATTTAAAACTTTCGTACAATTTGTTTTCAAGACATGCGTGTTTCTATGACTTCCAGAAAACGAATGGAAGATTTTAAGCGCTTGTAATTCTTCTTGTAATGCCGGATTTTACAGTACGTTTCTACAAACTCGCAGAAGATGAAAGCTCTAAGTTTAAAAAACGCAGAGTTGTGATAAATCTTACGTTTGTTTTTATTCACATCCCAATGACAAATCAAAAATTTAAACTGACTTATCTCGGAAAGGTAAAATAACTAGTTTTATCTCGGCTTTTGTCTTAGCTTTCCATTGTGCAAAATAATTCAAATTTTTTCTACTTGCTGCTAATAGTAAATGGAATTAAAGATGGTATGTATTTTTTTATCAAAGCAATACTTATTTTTTAAAAAAATAATTAAATTAAAATTTATACATTTCTTAACGAATTTTCAATAAGCATTCAATAAAGAACTATTGTACGAATACCAATCATGTTATCCCAAAACCCATACTAACTTTTGTAATACATTAGTTTAACATACTTGTAAAATCAAATTTAATATATGTACGTTATTTTTGTAATAGGAGTAGCATTTAAAAATTAATTCAGAAGTTTCAATTTTTCACTTAAAAAATTAAATGGTTAAATTTTATGAAATGTTGGACACAAAATCTGTTCTACGTCACACATACACACAGGAGATGATCAAAAAATTATGAAAATCATTAAATTAAAAAAATTTGTGTACCACAAGTCCCCTTAAACTCAAATTTGTTATGATAAATTAATTACTAAATTCATTGTGAAGCTCTCATATTTATAAATATGTTGCCTCAGTTTTAATTTGTATTTTATTTTTAATTATGTCAGAATGTACTTTCTTTTGCTATTCCTTTCAGTAAATAAATATATTCTTTAAATAATCTTTTATTTTCAACTTTTTGATATGCTCGCGCGTCCCCCAAAATTGGATTATCACGCCTCCCTTGTAGGGCAGACCCCACAGTTTGAAAACCACTGTGCTAAGCTTAGAAAAACAAATGACAATCAGGAAAAAATAGCCCTAATATATCGTAAACTTACCCTTTTTTTCTATGATTTTTATATTTTACACATTAAATTAGATATAATCCGATTTGGACAAAACCCAAACACATGAATATGTATTCCACTTATACAAGAAAATAATAACTGTTCCCAAAAAGTAATAAGGTGTGATATAATCAAAACATGCTGTTTGAGGTAACAAAAAGAATAACAAATCGTTTATGAATAGAAAATGGAACAAATGCTTTACCATATTTTTCTTCTGAGCAGATTGACTTAGTACAACTCTTGGATAGGGTAAAAAACTGCTAAACATACAGAGAATTAACAATTATTCTTTTCACTTCTCTTTAAATACTCTTATCCATTGTACCAATGATATATTATTAATACTTCCAAACTCTTATAGCTTCATTTCCTGCTGATACACCCTCACAGGAATTAGTCCTTTTTTTGATCTTATACTTTTCCATACACCGGTTTTTACTCTCTTGGGGGAACTATATTCGCACCATCATTTTGTCCTTATAATTTGAATTTCTTGAGGGGAAGCCAATTTAGATTCTATTTTCGCTCACATATATCTCTGGATTGGTGGAATTATTTATTGCTCCCAGGGATCACATAGGAACATCAAATGAATTTTATGCAAATGCAGCCTTTGATGATATGCTTCCTCAATGCGATAAAATGCAATCAACTCCTTTCTGTGAGGAAGAACAAGATAACAAAAGACGGTGGGTTAACTTTAATAAAAGTTCGGTGAACAGTAGTTCGAATATTGTTTTATAAAAGCGTATGGATATCAAACAGGGAAGAGTTTTATGCACCTCGGATGCATTCAAGATAAAAAAGATTGATAAAATTAAATTATATAGCTCTGTTGAATGAAACCAATATCGTAGTTTAATATATATTTCCAACGTATAATCTTATCCATTGTTTTGATTAATGTTTTAATATCATAGTATATTAAATTAATAAAAAATATGGAGAACCCGATTGATGGCCTACCAAGAGTTTACTTTCACACACACATACTGTACTTATGTCGTCACGAACAAGAACTCAGATGCTCCCGATTACCTAAGACAGTTGGCTCTGGAAGTCATAGATGGCATTCCGAGTGATTCTATTTTGATTTATACAGATGGCAGTAAAGACGATTTGAAAAACGCTGGGAGTGGTGTCTTTATCAAAAGTCTTTCAGCCCAGCTTTCTAGACCGAACCCGGAAAACTGCTCGGTATTCAAAAGCGAACTAATTGCCATAAATGAAGGATTAAAGGCCATCCTTGACGGCACTAATTCTAATGACATTTGGGTTCTTACTGAGAGTCGGAGCTCAATTCATTATCTACAGGACCGGAGCAATATATACGACTTCGTGGGCATACGAATTATAACCATCTTAGAAATCTAACCTAGGTAAGGTAAGTCCACTTTCAGTGGATTCCCTCCCATGTTAACATCCAAGGGAACGATGCTGAAGACATCTTGGCTAAAAGAGGTTCTGAGATTCTCAACCGGGACTACAAAGTAACATATAAAGAAATTTTCTCTATAAAGTAAAAAGCAGTCAGACAAGACTGGCTAACCCCTCCCGCCCATCCTTGGTTCAGCAGGAAGACCCAGGAAGGAGCGTGAAATTCGGAGGTGACAGAAATGATCAAACGGCCATCTCAAGACTCCATAAGTGGACATCTAAAAAACAGGACATTTGACTCAGGACGTAAAGTCTTTTCATTGTGCAAAAAATGCAATCTGAAGCCGGCATCCACCGATCATATCCTGGATTGCTTGGGGTTCGCTCTGACGGATGTTTATGAAAGTTCTCTACTGGTGCTTGACTTCGCTAGAGTTCACAGTATCCTGGATCTGATCTAGCTGCCGCTAGATCTCTGAGGGATTAGAAATAACAAAAACATAAAAGATATAATGACAATGATTTGATGAGATTTTAAGGCAGTATATAATATGTTTTGATGATGGTACTAATGAGACCTGCATCACTTCAGCTCCTTAGCACATGTACGCCCACTATGTGATGGGTCACGGCAACTCAAGTACAAAGATTAAAACAGTGAAATTTTGGGAGGCCAGAAGACAGTTTTATCATCTACCCTAATATAATATGACTGCAGTGAATACGATTCAGAACTACAAAAGTAACAAATGATGTTTTTATAAATTCACAAAATACCATAGGAAAGGTAAACTGCAAAATTTTAACTTAAGCATAATCCAACTTGTAGATGTAATATATGTATATTAAAATATCATATTCCAATTCGTACATGCAAAGAACATTGTGCTTTCTTTAACACAGAAATGTTCGTCAGTGTCGATTAGGTACCGAAGCCTGTTTCATTTATTCTCCTTTTCACATTTTTGTAAGGAGTTTGAAAATGTGTCGTGACTTATAATCATTTTCCTTGGTGATAACACAGAAAAAGTTTTGTAGTTCTAGGTTAATTGTAGAAGAGATTTTGCAACTAAATAGATCTAGAACGTTTCGCTGGTGTCGTTCCGAACACCAAAGCAATTTATCATTATAAATAGCTGTCGTTTAGCAAAAGATAAATCCCTAAGTAGATGCCAATATTAAAACAAACTTACGGATGTAATATCGCACTTTTATTTGACCTTGAATGCAATGATTTTGGGTTCACCACGGAAATATGTCCCAATATACCCAAACCGTTGTGTCTAAGCGTTTCGTTACATTGCATTTGCTTATCTCTGTTCATCAAAAACTTCATTAGATTTTTTAACCTTGTTCAGAGCAGACACCCTGAAACAATGACTCGTAGAAAAGGTCTAAGCCCTGAGGAAATTGCTAGTTAGTTTTAAGAGTTTTAAGAGAACGAATCGGATGGTGGTTTGCTGTCTTGCTCCAATTTAGATTCCGATTAAGACATCCAATTAAGTTTAAAGTGACAGCGAGGAATCTGAAAGAAGTGCAGATGAAACTCATATTATATTCCAGTAAATCCTGATATATATGTTGCTAGTGCCACAGAATGAATCTCGCATAATAATAATGTTCCTAGTACTTTTACGACTCGAAATGTTTTGTGACAAGACACCGGTGGATTTTTAAAGGTAATCGAAATTACAGACATTATTGTGTTATCAAAAATAGGAACACGGGATCGGCAATAGAGCGAATGTAGCTGTAGGGTTATGAGTCACTAATTCAGGACCAGCACGTTTGTTGCCATTAAATATGCCCCTGTTGGTAAAAGGTTAATCCACATAAACCTATCGAAAGACAAATACATCAAATTAACTTGATGTAGAAGTTTGGAGAGTATGAGGATAGCAACTCAAGTGCCAACTTTGTTCTTTGTCGTGAGCGATAAGTGAACCAACACTGGTAACAGATTTACAAAGGAATTCATTGATATATTATTTATTAACTTCTCCCTACGAATTTATACGATTGTATCAACGAAAGCCCCCGTAACACGATAAAGTGACGGGACGACACCACAACCGGCACTTCTGACGTTGATACTGTATGCAGGAAGAACTTTTAAACTAAAACTAAACTAAACTCAGTGGTGTAACAGCCCATGAGGTCCTAGACCTAATGTGCCCATCTCAGAACGTGACCTAGGGCATTGAGGTGCATGAGAAGATGTTCCGGTCAAGTGGCCATTATGACGTTCACAGACTTTTTAGTTCCCAAGCAAGCTTGGTACTCATTTATTTATCTACTGAGGGGATGAAAGGCTGAGTCAAACTTGCCCAGACCGGTGATTGAACTCAAACCTGTGGCATGGAAGACTGTTGTGCTACCGCTCAGCAACTGGGTTAAAAAATTCCCAACGGTACGTGGTGCTCCCAGGTGGTCACCCTCCCAAATACTAACCGCGACCGATGATGCTTAACTTCGGTGATTGGACGAGAAACCAGTACTTGGATCACTGACATATTTTACATGTATCAACCTGTCTACACAATAGAACTTCGGGAGCAATGGGATTCGACAGAGGCAGGTCAAGACCTCGTGGCTATGACCATTTTCTATAGGCGCAGACATATAATTTGAATACATATAATTAGAACATATGTATGATTTGAATGTAGATAAAATCTATGGTTAGCTCACAACCACAGCTATAATACGATTAGTCCTCTGATGATGAATCGACCCTATAGATTTATAAAATATTGCTTTATTTCTGTGAGAGTTTTATTTTAATACAATACCAATTATAAGAGAAACGCGTCAATGCAATAACAGATTGTTGAACATTAAGCTCATTCCTGGAAAAACAGGCATTTGTAAAACAATTATCTACAATATTTGGTAGCTCAAAAATTAGTCCCTTACTAATAACACACAGTATAATCCGATCTTTTTTCGAAGGCATTAAGTAATATAAACATAACTCAGTCAGTCATGAATTACGATCGCGTGTTAGGTTGCCTTTAGATGTAATAGATTTACTTAATCGTCATAAAATTGTCTACAACATCTAATCAACCTTCTAATCTCTCTCTGAGTCTTAAATCTTAAAACACAAGAGACGATACGGAAAACTATTAAAAATAGACAAAAATTCGATCCGCAACAGAAAGGTGCCAGGAGGGAAAAAAATGCATTGTTCAAACAGTTTTCTGACAATCAAATTCTATTCAATAAAATAAAAAACAAAAATATCTGTCTTGACTGAATTTGGTCATTTTCAACGTGTTCGGATAATTTAAGTAATTTTCGAAACCCCTCCCCTTAACGAGATTATTCATTACTTTTAATATAAATATATGAGCCATTTTTATAATTTTTTTCATAAACATATTACACAATAAATAAAGCATAATAACAAAACTACTTTAATAACAAGAAGGAATATTATATGTGACGTAGATAAAAAATCTCAATAGTTGCTTCCTTATTTAAATACTGAAAATATTTGTATAGGAATAACCTTATTTTTATTGATTTAAATAGGCAAACCAATAACACAGACACAAATTTTCAAACTTCTTTAACAAATCCAAAAAGAAATATCAGCTTCAAATCGTATGGATTTGATTGACAAGTGGTTTGGGATTTAGTTTAGCACAGCTGCTACAAGTGAGAAAAAGGAGCAGGTGGTTTTGAATTTGAAAAAAAAATATATATATATATTGTGATAATTCTTGGCCACTCAAATAATACAGAAATATTTTCTTTAAAATGTACGAAGAGTTTGATGGCGTTCATAAAGAATTTCCAATAAAAAAAAGAAATTTTAAAAGAACAAAACACAAAAAAAGCGATGTTTCTCTATTGTAGGTCTTCAGAATTTACTTCTTTGAAATTAAGTGAATGTGTATTTTCGTTTCCTGAATTATTCCGGCAAACTTTCAAATCAAAAATTCTTTTTGTTGTTTAATTGGTTTATGTTAATAATATCGAATAATCAAACGATATACGCTGTTTGTAATAGTATTACTTTTTTCAAGGACCCTACTTTGTTATGAAAATTTTTAACAAAATAAATACATTGAGTGTGTGAAAGATACGTATTCAACAAATCTTCTTAACTAGAAATATGTAATAATACATTTTATTCCTACTTAGAAATATAAATATGTACACTGCTATGCATTCTTTTGTGTCCCCCTAGCCCAGTTGAAGCAACAAGAGCTTTTTCTTACATCGGATCTGTTCGGTTTTTAAAAAAAAAAACTTTTTCAGCTCGTGTTAAAAATTTATTGATTACATTTCAAGAAAATACTTATTCTCAGCAGAAAATGGATACAAATGTAAGTAATAAGGTTTTCGGACATTTTATACTGGAAATAGAAAAAAAATGTACAGATTATTTTTTCATATATCTGTCCATTTCAATCTACACTTTTTTTTTCAGAAAAGAGAAATCTCTATAGGTGTGATGAATACATTCCGTTACTAGTTAGAGACACATATTTACTCAAAAAGTCAATAGTTAATCATTAAATAATTCATGCAATCTTTAATTAATCAATATCAAAATAAATTCAATACCTTAAAAGGCCTGACTTATAATAATTATATTAGTAAATATACCTATTTTACAATCTCCAACCAGTAGACTTTTAATAACGGGATTTGATTTAGACCATACGTGCTCGAATTCTCTTTTGTAAAATTACTCTGACCACAGTAACACTTCTATGATGTCGTCTAATTATCCTGCGGAAAAAGAATTTGAACGGCAAGAAATCTTGTATCTGGTATTATATCCATAAGACTGACTGACAGGGCTGCTTTTTGAAAGGTAAAAATTTCTTGAACTTTGTAAGTATATTATGAAAGTGAATTAGTTCTAATACTTTAAATTGAGAGTACTGATCTTCGAAGTTTTGCAACTCTTAGTTTGATTTATGCTTAGCACATATAAAAGAGCGATTTGCACCTTAAAAATATTTGTCATATTTTAACAGATTGAAGGAAATTTATTTCTAAATGTTCACTTTCATTAATGTACATTTTTTAAAATTAATTATTGTGAGGTCCTTCTTTAATAAGCAGTACTCAATTATTTTAAATCACTCTCTTGAAGAATACAATATAAGGAATTGGTATTAAGTGTTTATAGGAATCTAAGATTGTGACTGCCTTTCCGAGTTGTCCCCATCACAATATTAAAGATATTTTCGCGCAAAATTTTAGATAAATTATCTACAGGTAATAAGTTAAAATATAATGGTATTTCATACACATCAACTTTGCATAATATTGATATATTTTGTAATAGGTTGCATATTGGCAACTAAACTTTTACAGACACGGCAAGGCCCCCCATTTGGAAGCCTTTTTAGAGGTGATACCATTTAGTAGCGGCCCTCACTACTGAATTAATTTTAACTCATTTGAATTAATTTTAACTCAAACTCTCGTTGGATGTTAAATATTGCCGTGATTTAATTTTGCAGAGAGTACCAGAGCCTAATTGATACTCAAAGGGATCTATTACATGCCACATAATCATATGACATACGTGGGCCTACAATTTCCTCACCCAGAAAAGTAACCAGTGCAAATTAGACTTAGGCGTATTTACTGAGTGTGTTGTGTGAGGGACATTTATGATTTCACCATTCCTCTGATTGTTAGCTATTTGTGTGACATTAAGAAAATGTCACTTAATGTACACTAACCATTATTAACAGACTGACATTTGAAAATAATAACATTTATACAAGCAATTGGAGTAGTCCTGAATTTAACTTATTTTGTTCGTATTTGACGGCCCCTATAATGGATCACAAAACATTTTAAAGTATTATACAGTTGTTAACTCTGACCAATAATAGACTGCAGATTACAATTCGTCCATTGTTTTAGGCCTATTAAAAGCAAACTTAAACTAAAATATATCATCGCCTAAAGTAAATATATTTTAAACATTTTAAGTACTCCAACACACTGCATTTATTTTAATTTTCAAAATAACTAAGCAAATTTTTTAAAAAATTATTATGATTTAATAAGTGAGACTAATCAGTAAGCATTTAGTTAAAAAAAATTAATTATACCAGCATCTGAATTTAATGTCAAAATATTAGTAAAAATGTCTTTGATATTATATTATCATGCTTCGCAACATTCAAGATAATTCATAGAAAATTAATATTTTTATCATACAATGAAATTTATCAATAAAACGATTACAATTACGGATATTTAAAACATCAAATGGGTCTTATATATAATACATCTTATCATTTACTTTTATTTAAAAATGGAAATGTAAGATCAATTATGTGTTATTTTCTCTAAGAAATAAAAAAAAACTCCAAAAAGAATGAAATAAATAAATATATTTTAAATTTCCCAAATGACGAAAGCTTGGGAAATATATATATAGCAGATACCTTTACTAAATATAATCTGATCCATTATCCTTTGATATCTTTTAAGCACTTTTAACAACTAATGTGATTGGGCCACATAAAAATATATGTCCTGCAAAATACTAAACATAATTCTCTCTCAATCGTTTCGATGCGAATCATTATTCTTCTCTGATTTAAGGTTATGTTGGTACATAGGCATTTCGAGAAACAGAAATCCGCCAATTAATGTGATGTCTGAAGCGGCCTAAACTGTTTGTCGATGGGCGATCTTTGCCCCGGGTAATGGGAGCTAGAAATAAATCTTCACACCCGGCCATACTAGGGGTCGAAGAGGTGCTAAGAGATGGAAATATAATTTAAGATAAGGTCAATGCTGAGACAGATGAATTAATATTTAACATGCAGAATGGAAGCTGCTGGAATGTGAATTTTCTCTTAATTTAATCTGGAGTTATTTGATGTTTGTAAGTAATGTTAAATGGAAATTAAAAAAATTGCTATATGCTGTTTCAGCTATAAAATCTTCATGATGGGACGCAAGAATAAATAATTCCATAGTTCTGGGATCAAAACATGAGAAAAACATTTGTTTCTAAATTTTATGCACAGTTTGTTTGAGAATTGGTAGTATTTTAATTTCTACACGTTAAATTAAATTTCATGGCATAGCATTTCGGATTTTGATCTTTATACTTTAATATGATTATCCTATTACTATTTAGATCCTGTCAGTCTTCAAAGATACGCCGAGTTATGCCATTCATCGACCCTTTATATGATGTATAATGAGAAAAATGCGGATATTACAAGGATACCAACTAGAATTTAACTATAGATTTTTTTGTTTAATATTACATCCACTTCATTCTATCCCCATACACACTTCCAATGACCAGTTTACATTGAATGTTGGGTGACAAGGACAACATTCATTTAAAACTAGAAAAATAATTATTAAAAACATAAAATTAATATCACACGTAAGCACAAAACATGAAAAGCAACAGTGGAAAGTATATTGACGAAAAGAGCAACACCCCGATTTCACTTATCACACACACATGCATAGCAGATACAGCATCGATGG